GTTCTATACTTTTCATTGACAAGTTTCTTTAACTTCAGTTCTTGGTTTATCATTTAGATTTCCTGATAGTGGTGAAGAATTATACTAATATGATGAGAACTTTTCTGACCGGATGCATATTTCCATTACCATCAGATAATCCAAGCTTCCTTCACTATTAGATTATCTTCATATTTGTACCGGTAAGTAATTTTCACCTTTGGAATTTATTTTTTTTTCATTTCTTATTAAACCAATATTTTTCTCTTTCAGTAAGCTAGTTTTTAACTATTAAAGATATCAGAATTATAATTGATAATCTGATTGATACTATTACTTGATGATTCTATACCTTTTCATTGATAAGTTTCTTCAACTTCAGTTCTTGATTTATCATTTGGATTTTCTGGTGGTGGTGAATAATTATACTGGTATAATGAGAACTTTTCTGACTAGTCATCTTTTTTTATAGTTATCTTTTTTCATAATTATCTTTTTTCATAGTTACCTTTTTTGAGTTTTTCAATTACTAATTATGATAGAGTTCTTTGATGATAGTTGCAGAGAGAATTATGAATTCTGCTGATTTTAGAGGTGGTTTAAATTCAGTATTAGAATGATAGTAGATGAGGTATACAGGTTTAGAAAAAGATGTACTATGTTCTATTTGTAACTCGTTTATTTACATAATTGATTTAGAAAATATCACAATATACATACAATATAAATGCAAATGTTCTTTTTTGGAAGGATAAAAGCTGTTTAATTTAAATGGAACAAAGATGTTTTTCATTCAAACCAGGAAATTAATTTGTTAATCAAAAAACTTTCATTAAATAATCCAAGCTTTCTTTACCATTGAATTATCTTCATGTTTATACTGGTAAGTAATTTTTTGCCTTTGAAATTTATTTTTTTTTATTCCTCATTAAACTGATATTTTCTCTTTTAGCAAGCAAGTCTTTAACTATTAAAGGCATCAAAATCATGATTGATAATCTGATTGATACTATTACTTGGTAATTTTATATCTTTTCATTGACAAGTTTCTTCAATTTCAGTTCTTGGTTTATTATTTGGATTTTCTGGTGGTGATAAATAATTACCAGTATGATGAGAACTTTTTTGATCAGATACATATTTCCATTGCTACCAGGTAATCCAAGTTTCCTTTGCTATTAAATTATCTTCATGTTTTGTATTGGTGAGTAATTTTTCATCTTTGGAATTTATTTTTCATTTCTCATTAAACTAATATTTTCTCTTTCAGCAAGCAAGCCTTTAATTATCAAAGATATTGGAATGATGATAATCATGATTGATAATCTAATCAATACTATTACTTGATAATTCTATACCTTTTTATTGACAAGTTTCTTCAATTTCAGTTCTTGATTTATCATTTAGATTTTCTGGTGATGACAAGAAATTATTAGTATGAGAAAAACTTTTCTGATTAGGACATGTGTTTCCATCTCTATCAGATAATCTAAGCTTCCTTTGCCATTGAATTAACTTTATATTTTGTATTAGTGAGTAATTTTTCACCTTTAGAATTTATTTTTTTTTCATTTCCTTATTAAACTGATATTTTTTCTTTCAGCAAGCAAGTCTTTAACTATCAAAGATATCAGAATCATGATTGATAATCTGATTGATGCTATTACTTGATGATTTTATATCTTTTTATTAACAAGTTCCTTTAACTTCAGTTCTTGATTTATTATTTGAATTTTCTGATGATGATAAGAAATCATCAATATGAGGAGAACTTTTCTGATCAGGATATATATTTCCATCTCTATCAGATAATCCAAGCTTTCTTTGCCATTAGATTAACTTCATATTTTGTATTGGTGAGTAATTTTTCATCTTTGGAATTTATTTTTTTTTTCATTTTCTCATTAAACTGATATTTTCTCTTTCAGCAAGCAAGTCTTTAACCATCAAAGGCATCAAAATTATGATTAATAATCTGATTGATGCTATTACTTGGTGATTCTATATCTTTTCATTAACAAGTTTCTTTGACTTCAGTTCTTGATTTATCATTTGAATTTTTTGATGATGGTAAATAATTACTGGTATGATGAGAACTTTTTTGACTGGATGTATATTTTCATTACTATCAGATAATTCAAGTTTCCTTCACCATTAGATTATCTTCATGTTTTGTATCAGTAAGTAATTTTTTGCCTTTGGAATTTATTTTTCATTCCTTATTAAACTGATATTTTCTCTTTTAGCAAGCAAGTCTTTAATCATCAAAGATATTGGAATCATGATTAATAATCTAATCAATATTATTACTTGGTAATTCTATATCTTTTCATTGACAAGTTCCTTCAACTTCAGTTCTTGATTTATTGTTTGGATTTTCTGATGAGAAATCACCAGTATGAGGAGAACTTTTCTGATTGAGACACATATTTTTATCTCTATCAGATAATTTAAGCTTCCTTCACTGTTAGATTAACTTTATATTTTGTATTGGTAAGTAATTTTTTGTCTTTGAAATTTATTTTTTTTCATGTCTTATTAAACTGATATTTTTTCTTTCAGCAAGCAAGTCTTTAATTATCAAAGATATTGAAATTATGATTAATAATCTGATCAATGCTATTACTTGATGGTTTTATATCTTTTCATTAATAAGTTTTTTTGACTTCAGTTCATTTAGATTTCTGGTGATGGTGAATAATTATCAGTATGATGAGAACTTTTCTGATTAGATACATATTTCTATCTCTATCAGATAATTTAAGCTTTCTTTGCCATTGGATTATTTTTATATTTTATATCAATAAGTAATTTTTTCACTTTTGAAATTTCTTTTAAGCACTTTAATCAATCTGAAATCAAAGTTTAACTATTTCTTCTGAATAATAATAATTATAATTAGCTCAAGTCTGAGAAAGTAAGTAAGAGTAAGCAAGTAGACAAGTGAGAAAGTAAGAATGAACAAGTTAATAATAATTGAGTGAGCAATCTTATAAGTAATCGAATAAGTAATCAAGAAGATAATTAAATGGAAAAGAATAAGTAAGCTTTAACTATTAATAAGATAAAGTGAGAATTTAATAAGTCTTATTTTATTTGAATATTCTTAATATTAAATTATTCTTGAGTTATATTATAAATAAAAAAAATAAAATACAAGTTTATTCTTAATATTTAAATTATTCTTAAGTTACATTGTAAATAAAAAAACAAAATACAAGTTTATTCTTAAAGTTTAAATTACATGTAAATAAAAAAAATAAAGTTTATTATTCTCAAATTATATTGTAAATAAATAATAAATACATGACATTCTCATTCTAACCTTAAAAGTATCAGGGATAAACTCCAGAAACTTCAAAAAGATAGAATATAATTGAAAGTTACATGATCTGTCATTTTTTTTTGTTTTACTTTATTATTACTTTACTATGATGTTACATATCCAGATCAAATCTGATTCTTTTTGGTTCTGCTAAAAACTGAATCAAATTGAATTATTCAGAATCTTAATTATTAATAACTAATCTAATTTTGTTACATAAGAAGTGCTCAAGAAGGATAACTAAGCTTGATAGAAAGAATTAGCTATTGAGTTAAGAATAGTTAGTTAATATTTTTCTTTAATAAAACATATATTTATTACATATCTTATCTTATTTTCTTCTTGTTCTATTAAGAGAGTATTTTGGTTAGAAATAAACTTATGTAAATTATCTTATTAAGAAGATAATTCTATTTTATCAAAAGTAAATCTTATATATATTATCTTATTGAGAAGATAATTAATCATATAATCTCTTAAAGTTATAAAAGTAAATAACTATTATGAACACAGTTACTATTATCATTTTAAAATAATTACATATGCATAATCTTAAAATGGTAATAATACCTACTTTTAATTTAGTTTTTATAATTATAATTTCATTTTTATTTATTTTATTTTTGCCTTGTATTAATACAATACTTATAAGTATTGATACTTGAAAATCTTTAGAATAATTATTATTCTCTTAATCTTTATAAATAATTTAATTTTCACTCTCAAAACTTATTACAGATTATATTCTTGATAAAATCTATCTTTCTAAATATAGTTTGTAATATTAAAATAATATTTATTTATTTAAATAAAATTTTATTCATTATATAATAATTACAGTATATTGCTCTTGTTCTATCATTATTGTAAATTTACATAAATTATATTGGTACTTAATATCCGTATAAATTAATCAGTTGAAATTATAAATTTTGATTGGTTAATTATCACGGAAAATCACGGGTAGATCTACAAAAAATTAGCCAATCATATGAATGTCTGCCCATGACCAGTAGGGATGATAAGAAATGTTTTCGTACGACCTAACGTGGCATGCAAAGTTGATCATGAGGGTTAACGTAGTACTAGTTGATTAAAGTTAATCGTGCACGGATTAAGAATGAAAGAGGCGAATGAACAAAGATTCTTTTGGTATAATTGATCACAAATGTATGGTGCTGACGATTTCAAACTATAAATAAAGTTGCAATTAACCATATTTAGCGAAGCAAGAACAAGGTACTAAAACTCCCTCTTTATTGTCAAAAAATGTCAGTATTTATATGACTACGATTACGATCAAATTAAATCAAAATTGTTTCTCGTAGCTTCCAGTCTTTACTTGTAATAAATGATGATCTATGAATCTCCTATAAAAGATAATTTTTTCGCAATCCTGCAAATTTAGCGGAGCAAGCACAGACACGACGTGTCATTATTCCATAATAGGTGCTTAATTAATTCATAAAATTTTGCAGTTATCTTCGAATTCATAACAAAAAATTAATCTACTTGGCTTTAATCGAAATAAGGTATCTTCGTTTGTGATTGAATACCCCTACACACCATGCTTAATTGATGTCTAATCGGATTTTTTTTTCGTGTAGATGTCTTCGATCAACATCTCGGAAATTGCACCTTTTTTGGTCTTCATGTCCATAATGATGTTCGCTGAGAAGATCCCTGTTCATCTAGCATGTGCTTCGCCATATATTTCATTAGACAACAAATCATTGCGGATCTCAATGCACGAGTGGAAAGATTAACCGCAGATCATACGTCGCGAGATGCCACATTTATTATCGAAGGGCAGAGAATCATGGTGATGGTAAACACTGTGATTGAAGCTATTAATGGAATTACCGCCAATTACGAATCTCTTCGTGACCAATTGGACCATTTAACTGAAACGGGTTCCATAGGCAAATTAAGATCTGAACAATTTAATACGCCACCTGAACATATATCCAATTCTTCCCGAAAGATCTCTCACGCTTCTTCCAGTGGTTCAAGCCAATTATCATTTTCCAATATTATCTCAACAACTTGGAACGAATTCAAACTTATTTTTGATAGGATTATGGCGGAAAATAATTATTCTTTAGACGATATGTGTAATGCAGTATCTGTTGAAATTTATTGTCTTGGGGTGGGAAAAATTAACAAGAAGACGGTAAAAAAATTTTATTATAATGGTAATGATTTGAGGGGTGGAGCATTAAAAAAAATAGGTTCTTGGATAGATAGTAATAACTTAGCTAGTAATATGGGGTAGAGAAAGGAACAGCCATTACTTTACAATGTAGGATCCCGGCTTATTCCTCCCCCTTTGTTCCTACTCCACGATTCTATACAGGCCGGTCTTTACATGTAGTTTGTGATATAATTATCAATATATAATTTATTCTATGTAAATGCACAAATATTTTAGCGTAATATGTTAATAAAGCTTTAACCCAGGGTTTTAATTTTTAAACTTGTGTTTGTGTATCGAATAAAATAAAAAATCTTGTGATCCGATTTCTTGGTTACTATAATATGCACATATTTAATTGGACGATCCCATATATATCCCTTTAACGCGCGTTTCTTTTTTTTACTGCCAAGGTGATTTTCTGGCCTTCTCCTGTGAACCGGACGCGACATTTTAGAATGCTCCTTTTCTATGTCTACGACTTTTTCTTCCTATTTTGTGAGTGATATAAACTTATTTAGATTTCTTTTTGAAATAGATGCACAAGTATTCTGACCATAAGTACTTTGAGCAAAAATCAAAGTGGACTATTAAAGGATTTTTAGAGGATTGTGTTCTAGAACCGCTTGAACGGAAAACAGAGTGTTATATTATGTGCCTCGAAAAAATTGCCAATACTGAAGAAGGCCGGAGGCGTGATCAAGCAAATCAACTACTGCGTAGGTATAGATCGGTAAGTTGAAGAGATCTCTGGGGTTTACTATCTCCACAAAGCCATTGTTGGGGCATGGATGACCTCCGAGGTTGTCTGATGTTGAAGGCTCCGAGCCGGACTGGCAATGACTCCACTGGGGCATGGATGACCTCTGAGGTTGTCTGATGTTGAAGGCTCCGAGCCAAACCAGTGGGATAGAAAATCAGATGGGGTTGAGTATATTACTAACTATGTATTTATGCTAGGGAACGCGACCTGATTATCAAGTGGCCAAAAATTGGGACAATGCCCGTAAATCCTCGATTAACCTCTATCAACCAACATTTAATGGCAACTCTCTGGGTGTTGCAAATATCAGCGGTGGGACTATTGTTATTGGATCAAAAGAAGAGGCAACATCTTCGGGTAGTAAACGTGCTTTTGATAGCACTTTAGATTCGGATTTAATTTCTCCTGCGGGGTCAAGGAGGTAAATAGTCCTGCAAAATTTTTCTTACCTTTCTTTCATTGGTATGAAATATTGTTGGTAATTAAATATTTTATAATATAATATTCACAGAAATTATCAGGAAATCAGATCGATAATTCAACGTCTGGATCAGGATGCAAGAGATCTTACGAAAATGATAAAGAAGTTTATGTGATTGGTGATGACGACACTCTTGATTCCTCCAATTCCTCCGATTCTTTCAAATCCATTCATTCAGATAATAACAATAAGAAGGCAAGCAACATCAATGCAAGAATTGATGATCCATGTTAATATTAATAAAATATTTATATAAATTTAGCAAAAAATTGATAAAGGAAAAAAACGTGAAGATACAGAAGAAACACGAAGTACCAATGTTGTAAGTTGACATTGGATTGATCCTATGTAATTCATTCTTCTGATAGATAATATGCATTTCTTATTAGCCTAGGACACCATCCCCAAGGCCAATCAATAAAGCACTTATTATTATCACTCCACAAAAACCGACCCTTTCTGAAAAGTCAGCGCAATACTTACCTAATCATATAACAATAAATACAAACGAGCAACATGCAATTTTAAAAACTGAGGAGGTTTCTATAAAAATTCCGGATGTAATTTATAACTGGCTTATCAAAGTGACTTTCGGTAAGTTATCACAGGCTTATCTTTTATATAATTAAAGGTATGTCATTAAAAACCTCTCATTTAGACTGATAAGAAAGAATTTAAAAATGCCATTATGGCACAAATTGAATCGGATTGTGAAGATCATCATCATTTTCGTCAAGTATGCGAACTAATTCTTTACGACTTGTGGGTATATTTACTTTATCTATGAATTTTTATGTTTTATTCAGAATAACAATTTTACTTATGTAATTTTAAAATTAGTTACTATATGACACGATTGAGTTCATTGGATCGGAATATAAATGAGAGAACCTACACGTGGAAAGAATTGTCCCACTCTTCAAAGCACTACAATCAGAATATCCAGAATATAAATTCAGCTGGATCGAGATTGAAGTAAAAGTATTAAGGAAATGCTGAAGGTGTTTCCGGGTTTGATTTAATCATAAATAAAGCAGATAGTATAGGTATAGAGGTAGGCAGTTGTATTTATTGAGATATCTGGTGGCCCTAATAAACCGGATGAAAAACACATAAAAGGGGATTCAGAGAAACTTTTAAAAGAAGCCACATTTGGGTTGGTTTCTTTACTTAGGCATTATTTGGATAAATCTGCAGAGATGGCAAAGAACTTGCACGTTTATATGATACAATGCATCGGTAATGTCTTTATTATATTTCTCTATATCACTTTGATTTTCCTTCAAAATGTATTTTTCTTATATTTAATATTTATTTAGGTGATAGGATGACATTAAGTAAATTTTCGCTTAGTGAAAAACATCATTACAAAACTTCACAAATCAAATCCGCTCGATTTCCATTTTCGTTTGTTGAAGTTGCAGATTATTTGGAAATTTTTAAACTGTTATATGCTTTAATAGTGAGTATTTTCCATATATATATAATGTGTGTAAATTTTATCGGGAGCTTCAATGTAACATTCACATTTAATCTTTAGGATGGGCTTGAAAGTCAAACAAAAGAGCTACACAAATTAAGGTTATCCCCTAACGATTGTGTACCCAAAGTTCGAGACTGGCTTTGGATTCCGGACACAACTGCAACTTGGACAGGCGATCAATGATGTAATTTTAACTTCACGCGGTTTAAAACTCCAAGAAAATCCTTCGTGTCTCCGATAAACATATCTAATAATTTTAAATAAAAACGCATTATGAAAATAAACTAGAGCTCATTTTTTTATAAAAAAGTAACACATATACCACTACGCTATTATAATAAAGGCATTTGAAGTTTTAATTTTACTCAATAAGACCCAATTCTCGAAGATGCTCTAGAATAACTACATATGGGTCTTCGTAGTACCAAAATACCTTAAAACAATCCAGTTTTCTTCACATAATTCTTTCTTGAGTTGATCCCGCTCTTGCGGTCTGATAAAATTATTGGGATCTCCTTTGTGAAAGAATTTGATATATTTTTCGTGTTGTTCTCCTTGTACTTCGATTGCAAAACCATATTCTGGGTAAAATATATCAAGTTGTAGACCTTGAGGGGATTCAAACGTTTTTAAAGTCTGGCCAACGATTTTCTGATGGAAGTCCAAGATATTTCGTCACAATCTCGCGACATAAATTCTCCCGTTTGAATTTTGAGCAAAATGGACATCATGAATTATGTTTTTTTATACTATTAAAAGATGTATACCAAGTATGTCCTTTATCACATTTCCAATAATATTGATTTTTAGATTTGGTATAATTTTTAGAAAGACATTTACCACCATGTAAATAAGCAGTTTTTTGTAACTCACCAAGATTTAACTTAAATCCACATTTTGTACATTGTGGATTACTACCAAGAGATGCATACCATATATACAATTTATTACACTGCCATAATAATGGAGTTATATTATTAATATATTGATTGAAAAGATATTTTTCATCACAATTATGATAATCTCTTTCAAGGTAAGATGAATATTACCTGCACAATATAAATATCATTTACTATTACTGTAGTAACATAAATTTCTTTAATTTTATAATTTTTCAAACTTGGAATTTTTAGTCAATCAGTTGATTTTTAGAAAGTATATGATTTTGAATAATTTAATTGATGTATTAATTATGAATTCAGTTATAGTTCAGCAATACTTTAGCAATATTTTAAGATTATAATTATATAAATAGCTCAAAAGTTAATAATAATTCACAAACAGTTCATCAACAGTTCAGAAATAATTTAGAAATGATTCAAAAATGAATCTTATTTATTTTCTTTATTATTTTTTTCTTTTTAGAATATTTATCTTATCTTTTTATTTTATTTTATTATTTATATTATTATTTAGCTTATCATATGTATTTTATTACTTTATTTTATTTGTTTATTTATTGATTTTTTATTCTAAAACTTGTAATTGTATACTAGAATAGCAAATGAGTTATGAGTAAAGTTTAGATAGAATTTGTAAAATCTCAAAGATGTATAAATATCTCTGTTCTTGAATATAAAATAAACATACTTAAATAGTAATAATTCAATTATCTTTAAAAATACTTGAATTATATTTATCTTATAATTTTTTTTTAATTTTTGTCTTGATATTCTGCTTTTAATTATCTTTTTTATCATAATAGATTATATTTTGGCTAATTATACATTTTTCTTGTCTGAAAAATATAGATAATAGATGTCTCCTATTTAAAATAAGTTAAGTATATTTTATTTGATTTATGAAGATTCTTGTAAGCTTTCTCATATATAAAAGCTTTATTTTGTTTTTGGTATATATCTTTTGTTTGCCTAATAGTTAAAAAGAAATTATTAGAGAGTTTAGTTAGTATAATAGATCTTCTATTTTAGTTATAATATTTATTATCTAATTTTTGATATCTACCTTTTGAGTTTAGTTTTTATAATCATAACTTTTCTTTATTTTATTTCATTTTTATCTTGTATTAATATAATGTTTATAAGTATTAATACTAAAAATCTTTAAAATAATTATAATTCTCTTTATCTTTATAAATAATTCAGTTTTTATCTTCAAAACTTATTATAAATTATATTTCTGATAAAACCTATCTTCATGAATATAGTTTGTAATATTTGATATCTCTTCTGTAAATTTCAAACTTCCAGAAATTCCTTTTAATTTATTTTTATTATTTTTGTTATTTATTTATTTATTATTTTAAGAATTAGTTACTCTTGAAATATTTGATATCTAAATAATTAATCAATTTATGAGTATATATTATTCTTTTATTAAACTTTCAATTAACTTATATTTTAATGAATACAATCAAGATAATTCTTGAGAATTCTTATTTCATATCAAATTATATAACTACTATCCTTATTATTTTTCTGCAGACCAAAACTTGAATAGAAAATTTGTAAATTTTCTTATCTAAACTCAAAATTATTACATGATCTCACATAACAGATTATTACAGACATTATTTAATAATATAGTATAATAAAATCTTATACCTAATTAACTTTGCAGAAAAATTATTAAGTTATTAAACACTTTTATATTTGGCATAAAAATTACAGTTGAATAATAAATCTATTTTATTAATAATATTTTTTTGATTTTTGAAAAGACAAATAACTTTAAAATATTTTCAATTAATCAACTAACAGAATTAAAATATAAAAGTAATGAAACTAAAGATTCTAAAGAACTAATAGTTATAATCAAAGAAATTCAATATCAAAATTCTTAATTAAAAGAAAAATTAATTATATCAGACAGAATGAAAAGTCTCATTCAAGCTCTTGAAGAATTAACTTAATTTATAAAGATTTAAAGAATAGAAAAAATCCTTATTTCAATTTGTAAATTTAGAGATAATAATTAAAATCCAATTAAATAGTTATATAATTTTGAAATAGTCATGAAAGCTAATGAAATTATCAAAGAAAGAAAGATTAAGATAGTAAAAAAATATCTAAAAAAATCAGTTACTATCTGATTTGATTAATAAGTTATAAATAGTACTCTCAAATTAACTAAATAAATTATTAAAGAACATGATAAATATGATTTTACTTATTAATTTATTCTTAAATTTTATTTATCTTATAAGATGTAATAATAGCAAGATGAATTAAAATCACTAAAATAAACTAAAATAGTAGAAGAGTATATTAATTAATTTATAGAACTTGAAAGTAAAATAAATTCAAATAAATCTATTTAAAAGAATATAAGATTTGAATTTTTAAGAAAAATTTCAAATCTGAAATTCAAAATAAGTTAACCTAAATGTTGAAAATATAATAAAAAACATAATTGAAATTGCTAAAAATATTAAAGAAGCTGATTTAGATTTTCTTGAACAATCCTATTATCAAATATAAGCTCAATCAATAGATAAATAGAGTACTCTTGTTAAGATTTTACAAGATCTAACTAGTAAGTTAGATTATGTAAAATCTAATAAAAGATATAATAATCAGAATAATAATAATAATTAATAATAAAATTAGTTAAGAGATAAATTCACTATTATTTATTACAATTATAAAAAAAAAGAATATATTAATAAAGTATATCTAATTATCTCTCAATTTAAAAATTAATAATTTAATAATCAAAATATTTCTCAAAATAGAATAATTAAAATCAGAATAATAATAATAATAATAATAATAATAATTAGCAAAATTAGAATATTTAAAATAATAATTAGCAATCTAATAATTTCTAAAATCTGGATATTACTTTACTTCTGGTCTAAATTCAGAACTTGATAGTTATTTTATAAGTATCTACTGGTAGTTCTTTAAGTGATTTATCTACTCAATTTAATTTTCTTTATTAACAACTTATAATTATCTAGTTAGAGAAAGAAAATATACAAGAATTGTAAAAGAAAAAGAAGAAAGTGAGAAAGAAAATAGAGTTACTCAATCTTTATCAAAAATTTTTAAAGAAGATAAAACTAATTTAAAAAAAATGAAAGAAAGAAAGAGTATATCTTCTTATTTTTATAAAGAAAATAGAAATTTATAATATACTTGAAGATTTAATCTTTCAGAAAGCTAATATTATCATTATTTAACTCATCAAGATTTTATCTAAATAGAGAATTTCAATATTAAAAGATGTAAGATTATTTTGTTAATAATTATAAATAAGATAAAATATAATATGAATAGTTTTAATTTTATAACTTATAATT